TATATATATATATATATGTATATGTATATGTATATGTATATATATATATGTATATATATTATATATATGTGTAAATATATATATATAATTTGTTCATGTGCATGTGTGCAAATACACAAGTGGGTGTTGACGGTCAGGAAATCTACATTGTTTTCAGAGACAGCGTCTCTCACTGGTTTGGGGCTTGCTGATTCAGTTAGGCTGGCTGGCCAGAGAGTTCCCAGACCCTTTGACTCTGCCTCCAAAGCTATGGGAATTCAAGCATGCACCACATCACCTGGCCATATATTTTTTTAAGAGAACAACTTTTTTATTTTTGTATTTATTTTTATATTTTTTAATCCATACTGCAGTTCTACTCCCCTCTTCCTAGTTCCTGCCCCACACCTCCTCTTGCCCCCTCCCCACATTCCCTCCTTCATTTCACTCCAGAAGAGGGCAGGCCCCCCCATGGATATCAACCAGCATGGCCTATCACGTTGTAGGAGACTTGGCACCTCCCCTCATATTAAGGCTGGATGAGGTAACCTGATAGGAGGAAAGGGTCCCAGAAGCAGGGAACAGAGTCGATAGGAGAGGCCAACCAATGACTGGTTCAACTTGAGACCCATACCATGGGAGGAAGCCCACCCCTGACACTGCCTTGATGGCCAGGACTCAGAGGCCAGATAGCCCAGAGACCTAGGATAGAACCAAACTTGACTGGCAAAAAAAAAAAAAAAAAAAAAAAGTCAATGTAATATTTCTAAATGACATCCTGCTATACTTATAGATTGGTGCCTAGCTCAATCGTCATTAGAGAGGCTTTGCCCAACAACAGATGAAAATAGAAGCAGAGACTCACAGCCAAACATTAGGCAGAGCTCGGGGAATCTTGCAGGAGAGGGGAAGGAAGCCAGAGGGGTCAAAGTTACCTGAACTTTTTTTTTTTGAACTTCTTTTTATTTATTCTTTGTGTCTTTCACATCATGCTTCCCAATCCCAACCATCTTCCTCCCCCCAAAATAAAACAAAATAGAATTAAGAGAAAAAAGGAGAAAAAAGAAGGAGGGGGAAAGTCTCATCATGGAAGCTGCAGTGTGACACAGTGAGTCAGGCAGTAAACCCCTTTATCCATCACATGCAGGTGTTCAAGGCCCATGGTGTCTACTACACCATTGATACCAGGCTTTCACAGGGGCTCTTCCTGTTGCTGCCCTGTGTCATGGAGATTCTGCAGCCCTGGTTCCATAGGACTGACCCCCCTATCCCTAACCCATGCTCAGCAGATCACAGATGGGTGGATATTGGGGTGGACCAACACTTAACCCTGGTTCTGAGCCTGGGTAGTTGCAGGGTTGGTCAGCCCACCAGTTCTCCCCTGTCCTCACCACCAGGGTGAGCTCTCCTGAATTTCCCTGGCTAGTTCACTCCTTGCAACCATGAGCAAGGTGTAGGGCCAGTTCTTCTGCTTTCATGTCCTCAGGGCTGGTTCTCCCACACCTACGCCTTTAGGACCAGCTCTACTGTGTTGTACAGTCAAGGTGTAGGGGCCACTCTCCAAGAACTGCAGCTGACAAAGGACAGGAACAGCTTTCCCATTCTTAAGACCTTAGGGCCAGCTTTTCACTTGCCCCAGGCATCAATGGATAGGTGGGGGTGGAGGGCATCTCTGCCTAGCCCATGCTGACACATGACAGATGAGTAATGGGGATAGTGCTCCCATGTTCATAGCTTTAGGGCTGGCTCACCCACAACCTCTGCTAACATGGTTGGCTCTATTGTGCTGCCCAGGCAAGTTACAGGGCCTGCTTTCCCTAGTGTTGTAGCTTCATCTGGGTATTTTTATGTGGGTTCTGGGTGATGGATCCTGGAAAACACTTTTCATTTCTCTAGCCCCAAATGTATTTTAATTGTCATATAAAGCATAAAACTACACATATTAGTGGGGTACTGAGTATATGCACATACTGTAGTGTTTAAACAAGACTAACTAAATATACTTACCTTTTTGAACATTGATACTTTCTTTAAAAATTACATTTATTTATTTATTTATTTTATATGTAAATGTATGAATGAATACATGCCACAGTGTGTATTTAGAGTTCAGAGAACAAAGTGGGGGCAGGGCTTGGTTCTTTTCCTGCACCATGTAGGTTCTAGGGATGGAACTTAGGCCACCAGGCTTGTTAGCAAGCAACTTTACTTGCTGAGTTGTCTGCCTGATCCGGTCTTTTGGCAATTTCTTTTCTGTGAAAGCTCTCTAGATTTCTATAGTTGGTTTTTTTTTTTTTTTTTTTTTTTTTTTTTTTGTTTGTTTTTTGTTTTTGAACACAGAGGACACTGTGGTCTCATTATCACCACCTGTGCAGAAACAAGCAGGGCTTCCTGCTCCCATCTGTGTCTTGATGAACGTGGACCCATCTTTCCCCATTCCATCCTGCCTCTGAGAGTAAGATGTATGTGTATGCCCAGGCTGATGCAAAGGCGTTTGGAAGCTGACCAGTTTGTGACCCCAAGTGACCCTAAGCGAATACCAGCAGCATTGTGACAGCCGAATCATAAGTCACCCCAGGGAAGGAATGCTGCCTATGCCTATGGGAACCTTTTGTTGAGACCCTGCCCAGAAGCAAGTCTCACCTGGATCAGAGGAGGGGTGTTAGGAGGAGAGAGATTAGAATTTTCTGAAATGGAAGAAGGGGACAATGGCCCTTGTGGCTCCTCCAGACTGACAATGTAGGCTTTGGTCAGCCATAGGTCCTGGAGGGGGACTTAGAATGACTGAAGAAGGCTCTTCATAGCACACCAGGAATCATGGGAGCATGACAGGGCAATCCTGGGTCTGTTGAATGGGCTTGCCCCAGGAATGTTCAGAGGGAACTCTGTCCTTGCATCAGTGCAATGTGGCCCCTAACGCTAACCCTAACCCTGAAATTCACACATGCAGCTATCCTGTGACTGTTCATCTTGACTCTTACCAGCTCCTCACTGCTCGGTCTAGTGGATCAAAAGTACTGCCCACGCTGAGCATTTAGAGTGACAATGGGATATTGTGACAATCTCATTAGAGGTTGTGGGGTGTATGGTGAGGGGAGGCTCCCACCCACAGATGGTTTCAAAGAGCAGAATTGCTGGGTGGCAGGTAGCCAAGCTTGCCCAGTGAATCTTGGGCTGGCTGTGGTGGAAGGAAATTCACTGGGACTTTGCTGTGAGCTAACAGTCTCTGCCCTGCCCTGGAGACAGACTGTCTCAGTCCCACCACAGCTCATTTCTGCTGGGAAGCAGTGGTGAGTCCCATTTCTGATATGAAGACATGAAGGTCAGATTCTCCCTCTTGCTTGGAGTCACAGTGAGCATTAGATTTTGACTGTGAGTTCAGAGTTGACATTTGCTCATGGGGCACATGAGTGCACATTAGAAGGAACATTAGCCTGTTTCCGGAAGACTTCAACTTAGCTGAGTACTTTTTGCAACACAGAACTTGAACAAACACACACTGCAGCCCTGCCCAGACCTGAATCCTAATCCTATGCTCTCCCAGGAATCCCGTGCCACTTTCTCCTGCACAGAAGCAGCAGATGGCCTGATTTAGCCCCTCTGCTGCTCCTTGCAGACAATCCTTCCATTTGGGTGAGTGGATGAGAACCATAGAGTCAGAGGACAACTGAATGACCCTTTATTCTGCAGAGATGGAAACTGACAACCAGGAGGTGGCAGTGGCAGCCAAGAACACATTCCGAGTCACAAAGAACTGTCAGCTCAGGGGGTTCTGGTTCTGGTCAAGGCCTCAGGTTATCTGTTCATACCTTGGGGTCTTAGTGGCACCAACATCCAGGTTGCATGCAGACCCTGTAACTGGATATGGAGTTCTTTCTTTCTGTGGTGGCTGAGAGCTTGGGCTGTATCTCCTCATCCTTAGCAGCCACCAAAGTGTTTTCTCCAGATACCTTGCAGGAAGTTTAACAAATGGCTTGTTTTGATATGGTTCCTCCCCAGGGGCACTGCCACCTTCAGGGATTGGAGGAAAGTGTCATTTCCCAGGGCTCATTGAATGAGGTACCTTTCTCTGTCTTCCCCAGTTGGTACTCTGTGCTCCAGCAAGGATAAGCCATTCTTTAGGGACTCAGTCCTGGGTCACCAGAGCTGCTGGTGAGTGACATGCTCAGAGTGTCTGACCAGAGCTGACACAGCTGCAGAGACCTGTGCTAGATGGTGGGAGGAAGAGTGATTGTGGGTCCTGAGGATGGGTTGGGACACAGAATCATACAGATTGCTCCACAGTTGTCAAGTGGGTCTCCAGCTTTCTGCTTATGCCAGCCTACCTGGTGCCCACACCCACCTACCTTCCTTGGGTCTGGTTGGAGTCCCAAGGTGGGAACAAAAGCAGGTCCCAGGAGTCCAGGTGCCTATGTTCCCATCTCCCAACTGAATGATAATTGCAGCCACAAACTTCTTTAAGGGAGGGTGACCCACCTCTTCCCTTTACGTTTTTACCCTATGCCCTGCTGGTGACCTGGGTTTATGGGACCACCTATCTCTTCCACAACTGCAGGCCTCCCTTATCACTTCGAAATTACACCAACCCGCCCTACAACAGGCAGGATACTTTGGCTCTGATGGTTTTATAGCCCCTTCATACTATGCCAATACCTGGCTTCTAAAGAACTCCCTGTCTGCCCAGAAGGCAGGTGAGTGGGACATGGCAGAGGCCAGGCCCCATGGGCTCTGTGGGAGATGTAGAGTGCCTGTGGGAATCATCCAGAAATGAACTGTTTGCTTCCTTAGATGCAGATGAAGTCATCACCCATTTTGAGTCATGATGTCTATAAGAGGCACCAAGCTTAGGAGCAACACCAGACCCACCAGGCAGAGAAGAAAGGATTTCCCAGTTACTGCACAGTGGTGTCCACCCCTGCCTTAGCCAGCCTGCAAAGGTGCCTGTTTAGCCTAGAAGGTTAGTTGAATTTTATGAGGGTACAGATTCTGCTTCTATGATGTTCTTTCAGCTCCCATAGCATCTTGGTGTCCTGGGCTGGGCTCCCAGACTGGAGGAGGGAGGGGCTGACTGCAGTGGGATCTTCAGACTTGCTTTTCAGCTCAGCAGATTTCCAGATTGGGTTTCAGGTCTGCAGGGATCTCACTCTTACCCTGTCTAATTGTGCAGCTCTGAGCAACTGCCTAATATCTGTAGATATCAGTGAGGTGCTCTTACCCTAACAGGAACCACTGAGATGAGTTGTGTTATATGCTCTTACAATAGCCTCTACACTTACGTCTTGTGACTTAGAACATTCTGGAAGAGAGAAGTTGGTGGTTCTTATTGGCCCTTGTGGCATACGGACCTGCTTTTGCCTCTGCTGGATTAGAATGTCAGGGGTAGGTGACAAATTTGTTTACCTTGTCTCCTTTAGCAGTCGTTACTTCAGCCTTTGTTTGTGCATTTGTGTGCATGTGCATACGTATATGCACGCATGTGGAAGCTAGAGTACAATCTTGTTTTTTTTTTTTTGTTTATTTTTGTTTTTGTTTTTCGAGACAGGGTTTCTCTGTGTAGCTTTGGAGCCTATCCTGGCACTCGCTCTGGAGACCAGGCTGGCCTCGAACTCACAGAGATCCACCTGCCTCTGCCTCCCGAGTGCTGGGATTAAAGGCATGCATCACCAATGCCCAGCGCTAGAGGACAATCTTAGGTGTCATTACTTGGGCACATTTCATCCAGTTTTTGAGATGGGGTCTATCACTGACCTGTAACTTTCCAAGGTAGCTAGTGTGGCTGGCCAGTAAATCCCAGGGATCTACTTGTCTTTGCTTCCCTGGTGCTGGCATCGAAAGTGCACAGCTGCCAGGCGTGGGGATGGAACTCATGTCCTCGTGCTGGTGAGGCAAGCAGTATCCCCATTGAGCTCTCTCTCCAGCCTTCATTAAACCATCTTGAAGATGATAATGCAAATGGGCCACCGGACCCTGGTGGTTTGCCCTTCATGTGCTAGATGCATGTTTTTTCCTCTTTAGTTATTACAAAGCTCAGATTAAAATGTATGGCATCAAGTGATGAGACTTGAGCCTACCTTTACAAGCTAGATATAGACTGTATTTCTTTAATTTCTCTTTGTTGAATTTATTATCTCATGATGCTAGGGACTGAACCCAGGACCTTGCCTGTGCTAGCAGTCATCCTACCCCCAAGCCTCACCACCACTCAATTTTATTGTCTATTTGCTTGGTTTTATAGATGTTTTATCTTAGTGTCTCACATATATCTTGGTACATTACCTCCAGTTCTTCGTGGAACAAGGCATGACATCAATTACATTTAATTTAAATGTATCAGGTTAATTGAGAGCAAAGTCATGCCATGCCACAGAGGGGACCCACAGTTGCAAGAGTGTTGAGTGCTTTAGAGAATGACAGTTGAATTTACAAGTGAACGAGTGTGAATCTTGAACTGGACCTGAGCTTTGAACTTAAGACTTCTGTGGATGAAGGTGTAATGATCTGGTGTAGTGTTCTCTAGGCTTCCAGATCCCTGAAACCATCTTCTATTATATTTTGGAGTTTCTCAGCCAAGGGGTCTAGAGAACTACATGAAAGGCCTTCTTGGGAGCTCTCTCAGGCCTGTAGACTACATCTGTCCTGGTTGAGTTTTCAGTGGGAAGGGGCAGGGCTCAGACACACTTCCATGCTTTGAATCTATCTCTTTAAGGACCACAGGGCCCTTCAGCTATGGGTATCAGTCATGCTGAAGGCAGTAGAGCTCCTAGGGTGCAAAAGAAAGAGGTGTCACCTGACCCAAAGACATAAAGGAGTAAGTTTGTCCCTGAATTCTGACTCCTCTTTCCTGTTGCTATGATAGAACAGGGAATTGATAGGGGCATTTATTTGGTACAGTTCTGAAGCCTAGGTCTGAGGTCTAGGGGACACATCTATTGAAAATAATCATACTGTCCAGAAGGCTAAGACAATGGATGGGATAGTCTTGTGATGGCTAGCCCAGGCTCTCGGTGACTACTCCACTTTCATGATGGGAATCCCATTTTCATGATGTCTAGCTCATTCTCACTATGGCTAGCCCACTCTAGAGTAGGTAAACCATTACATGCCCATGCTTGTAATGGCTAACCTACTCTCTTGATAGCTAACCTACTTTCATGATGGTTATCCCTTCTTTTTGATGAGTAGCTCACTCCCAAATAAAATTACTCCATTAAGGAAGACAGAGTTCTCATGATCTCTACTTAACTTTTATGTTGGGACTTGAGTTTACAACATAACAACTTTGGTGGGGGGCATGCAAACCTTTTTGCTTCCTGGAACTCCACTTACATCAGCTTGTGTCTGGCTCCTATTTTAGTACACCCCCTGCATTTTTCTCTCTTGACTCTTTAAAATGAACTTAGATTCCACCATGTTTAAAAAGTCATCAGCCACTGTCCCTTGTCTCTCTCCTCCTAAGTGTATGCCTTTTTTTTGAAGTGGCTTGATTACCATCAAGGGGTGGGATGGCTGTCATGAGAATGGAGTAGTCATCGAGAGACTGGGGTAGCCACCAGAAGACAGAGTTTGGCATAAAATGGATTCCCTACTACACTCCCATTTCTTATCCCATCTGGCTTCCCTCTCCTCACTCCCACTGGGATTCTGGTCACTTTATCCAGCAAACATCTTTCACTGTGGTCATAATGTTCTCTAGGTTGTTAAACCCACAGTTACTTTCCAGACTTTTATTTCATAAGCAGCCTTCTCTTTATTTGATACAAGTGTCCTGACTCTCCTGTTCACTCTCTGGACATTTTTCCTCTTTCCATTCACAGGTAGAATAAAGTAGGATGGAAAGATAGGAAAAACTAAAGGAACACAAGAGTGAAAAGGAGCCACTTACACCATTCTGAGTCTGGTTGAAACCTCTTGCCCACTGAGAATCAAGAATTCTAGTACAATTAACATTAACTATGAATGCAGTTGATACAAAGACAGTGTTCCTTTTATGAAGAGATATTATCAGTGAGAATGTTAAAATAGTGAATATGGCCTTGTTCCTACTTGAGATATGTTCTAAGAATCTCACAAACAAGACTGTTAACTTTGGTGACAGTGAAAGCATCCTGGCTTGCCTTGAACTGTTATGATCTGAGTGCTACCTTATCAGCTATAACCCTGTCTGTGCACCACAGTAGTCACCTGTGATTGCATTTAAATTCCTCAACAAACCTTTAAAGAGAACTTCAAACTCCAGCAAAACCCGCTACATGGCCATCATAATACAATGAAACAGGACTTTTGAGACACCCATATGTACATGTCTCTCTTTCTATGAGCCCTAGTGCTTTAAATCTATATTAAAAACAAATGATCCTTTAATAAACTCCAACCCTGTTCCACACTGTTTTGTTCATTATCCAGGTAAGTCAGGGCATGTGTGTGTGTGTGTGTGTGTGTGTGTGTGTGTGTGTGTGTGTGTGTGTGTGTGTGTTTAGGTGGCATCTTGTTTGAGACAGGGTCTCTTATTGCCTTGGAGATCAGCAAGCTCTGGGATTACAACCACATGCCACCATGCTCTATTTATGTGCGTTCTGGGAATTCAGCAAGCTCTTCATCAACTGAGTCATTCACACATCCTGTTTCCAGGTACTTCCTGCAATCTGTTTGCAGGCTGAGGTGGGAACTCACTCTAGTGCCCTTTGGGAATGTTCTTCAAAGCCTACTTTGATGCTGCAGGCTTAGTTTACCCAGGACAACTTCTTTGTCTTTACGGCCTTTGCTTCCCAACAGATGTGCAAATCTCTTATTTCTTATATCAAATCCTGTCATAATTAGGACACACAGCATGGTGTGTCAGCTTTCAGTTACTATAACAGATGAGCAGCTTTAAAGATGAAGGTTTGTATGGCTCACAGCTTCAAAAGTTCCAGTCCTGTGGCTTTTGGCCCATGGTAAGGTGCATCACAGCAGAAGTGCATGGTGGAGCCAAATTTCACAGTTGGGAAGTGAAAGATCAGAAAAGGCTACACACCCAGCATTCCCTTCTAGGGTACCTCCCTAGTGATGGTGAGATCTCCCCCTAGGCACCAAGCTTAAAAGTTCTACAACTTCCAAACAGAGCCAAGATGGGGACCAAACCTTTGACACATGGGCCTTTGGGACAGTCCCTATCCTTCATCAAGTAGCTTCCATTTTCCCAAGAGATATCTCATAAACACACAGACACTGTGTGTAAGAAGTATTAATATCTGTCTTTTCCCAAAGCATAAACCCCACGAGGCCAGGGCCACAATCTCTGTTTGGCTACAATCTCTGGATATGAGTCATAAATAAAATAGAATCTACACTGTCTTATTTTGTTTAACACATTGGGAGACTGAGCCTTGTGAGGGGAGATGGCAGCCAGCAAAGTGCCTGTTATACAAGCATGAGGACCTGAATGTGGCAGCTGGGCATGGTGTCATGTCCCTGGTACAAGGAGGCAGGAGATGAGGTTGCAGGGAAGGAGACAGGTGGATCTATAGAGCTTTATAGGTGACCAATTTAACCATTCGACAAGTTGGGGATTCTGGAAGAGACATTGCAATCATGTACATACAGGCAGCACTAAGAGGATTCAGTGAGTTAAAAAAAAAAACAGTGCATAAAATTGGGAGGAAAAGTGATCTTGAAGAGAGGTGAGAGGGATGATGGAGGAGGGATTTGCTCAAAACACATTATATACATGTATGAAATTCTCAAATATACCACACATTCACACACACACACACACACCATATATATATATATATATATATATATATATATATATATCCACCCACCATACCACCCCCACACCATCCCACACATATATACCCACCCACCACATTATACACACACACCATACTACATATATACACACCCACCCACCTACTCACTTACCCACTACATACACACACGCACACCATCCCCCGACCCCCACAGAAAACAGTCTTG